ACCATTATTTAAGTTCACAATCTTTTACTATTATTACCGACCACTCAGCTCTTAAATGGTTACAAACTTCAAAAATTTCTAAAGGAAGGAGAGCACAATGGATCATGGAACTCCAACAATATGATTTTGAAATTAAGCATAGGCCTGAAAAACTAAATGCTAATGCTGATGCCCTTTTACGAATTAATAATGATCAAAAATATGAAGATAATACACATGAAGTCTTCATGGTAACTACTGAGGAAATTGAAAAGTCAGAGGACGAATGGCATATTTCTTCTGAATATAACTCTATTAAAGATAATGAAGAAACATGGTTTGAGGAACAATTACTTCAACAATTCTCCAACGTACCCTTAATTACTGCAGTTGGATACGAAAGCCCAAAGAATAAAATGGAAGATATATATCGTGAAAACATTAAAATTAAATCAGTTATAGCCAACCAACTGATTACCAAAGGAGGGTCTCAATGTACTTTCGCCTGTGATATTGAGAATCATCATATTCACACTTACTGTAAAGCGTGTAAAAAGAATCTACCTTATGGTACAATTATTCATGATTGTATTATAGGATATAAAAGAGGAAAAATTCACCCTGATATGAAACCAACTTATCTAGTTAATGACATATGGTAGGAAGAACCAGTTCTAGTACAACAAGAAAATGCATATTCTCAACTTTATGAAATGTTAGATATTATTCTCCTATCTACTTATTAATCTCTTATCCCTTTCAATATTTGTTAAAATATATTTATTTGAGTGAAAGCTGAAGTGTTTTTAGTGTGACAAACAGCTCAAAATGGATATAATACAATTTAATCATCTTTTTAATTATTTACAAAACCAAACTTTACCAGACAATTTAACACCAACTTAGCAACAAAAATTAGTTAAACAATCTAGATATTTCGAAATTAAAAATAATTATTTGTATAAACATGTTCGCCAAAAGCTTCTTAGAGTTATTCGATCACATTAAATGGAAGCTGTACTTTATATGATGCATAATGATCTAACTGCTGGACATTTTGCAGTAGATATAATGTTTGATAAAATCAAAGAATGATACTATTAGTTATAATTATATGAAAATATTAGAGAATATGTTTGTTCTTGCGATAGCTGCCAAAAAAGAGGAAAACTAAAGAAACATGAAGAGCTACATCCTATACTAGTTCAAGCACCTTTTTATCAAATTGGTATAGATTTCGTTGGACCTTTACCTATAACATCAAATGGAAATAAGCATATTATAGTAGCTGTCGACTATTTTACTAAGTAGCCTGAAGCAAAAGCTGTTTCTAAAGCTATTGCGGAACAGGTTGCCTTATTTATTTATGAATACATAATCTGTTATCATAGATGCCTTACAAAAATCCTTTCTGATAGAGAAATCCATTTTAATAATCAACTGATTAAGGATTTGATGGATAAGTTCAAAATCAAACATCTACTATCAACACCTTACTACCCTCAGACAAATGGTTTAGTGGAACGTTTTAACCATTCCTTGTGTGAATCTTTAGTGAAAACACAAGATCTAGATAACTGGGATCTACAAATTGCACTAACTTTGTTTGCATATCGTATAAGCAAACACTCAGTCACAAAAATATCTCCTTTTTATCTTGTACATAGGAGAAATGCAACATTACTCCTGGATGATCTTGACGATCCAAATGTCACATTATCTAAACATTTATAAAATTTGGTTAATCAATTACCACAAACTAGAAAAATTGCAAGAAATCATATTGCAATAGCATAACAAAAACAAAAGAATCGTCATGATAGACAAATTGATCATCTTTAT